CACCGACTCGCCACCAGGAGGCGTGTGTCTGCGTGAGATGGTTTTGAAATTCAGAGGAGGCAAGTAAAGTCTGGTGGTGGCGCAAGTGAAGCCTGGCGGGGAGACAAGTGAAGCCTGGGCGCTAGGAAAGTAAAACCTGGTGGGTAGGCAAGTAAAGCCGAGGAGACAAGTAAAGTCTGGTGGGGAGACAAGTAAAGCCTGGTGGTGGAGCAAGTAAAGCCTGGCGGGGAGACAAGTAAAGCCTGGCGGGGAGGCAAGTGAAGCCTGGGCGCTAGGAAAGTAAAGCCTGGCAGGGAGGCAAGTAAAGTCTGGTGGCCCTCCAGGCTTATAATACACTGTGGCAAACACTGGGAGTTAGTTACACTTGAATTACGGCTCTGACTGCATTGTTCTTTTTTGATGAAAGGCCAATTTCCTGAAGGTCTAATTGAATATTATTAATAATCATTAATCATTTTCTCTAGTTCAGACATTTACAGTCTTATTCCTCATTTTATCCCTGAGGAAATGTGTTTGCTATACAAGGAAAACCTGATTTTTGGGTTTGTCTCTTATGTAAGAACTATCTTGAAGGTATTTCCTTCTTCCTCTCAGCTCCAGAAACCCGTCTGTCTTTGCCTGAAGGACGTTCCAGACTGTCAGGAACATTCCTGCCCCATTCCAGAGCCAGGTAAGAGTTTTTCTTACCTTCTCTGACTTCCTGCTGTGACTCATTGTAAAACCAGTTTCTGTTTTCCTCCCTGGGAGATTCCAGCTGCAGCAGCAAAGTGAGAGTTAACCGTCCTCCTCCTCCTGCTGTACCAACCGGTTCCTGAACGCCTGCAGCACATGTCTCCCTGTGAAAGGAGGACTCAGCGTTTTGTTTGCAGCCGGCTAAGCCTCTGATCATGTTTGCTTCCAGAGTTTTCTGCAGATTTGGCATCGGTTTCTGTCAAAGGGCGCGACCCGGAGTCTACACGGTGAGTTCAGCCTTCAATGAAGCCGAGCCGCTTTCTCTGTTAGCCGTTTGATTAAAATGATGTTTCAGTCGTAAACATCTGGAAAGCTGCTGGTGTTTCAGTGACAACTCTCCATGTCTGCAGCTGGAGCTGCTCTGTATGTCGACGACGTTTAATTTATAACTAAATTACTACACAAGTTTTTACAACTCTGCAGCTGGTGGCAACACAAAGCGTGTGTGAATTTATCTTCCTGTGTGAAAACCTTCCTAGTCAGTGAGAATAATATCAGGAAGTTTTTAGCGTTTAGCTTCATTTTTACTATTTACAGTTCAGTTCAAACCTGAGTTTCTGCTAGAGACCAGCAGATTGAGCTCTAACGTGTTTTATATGTTGCCTCATAAACTTCTGTGTCTTTTCCTGGGATTTTATACGTTTGATCAACAAAGTCATTCATTTTCTACATGCTTTAGTTTTCTCTGTAGAAACGTTGAACCTTCTTTCACTGCGGCTGTTTGTATAGTTTTACTTCAGATTTATGACCTTCATTGTGTTGATTTGTGTCATAAAATCCCAATAAAACCTGTTTTCAGTTTATCTTCGGTCGGTTTAAATCAGGTGTGAATATTTTTCAACACTGCAGGAACACAGTGACTGGATCTGCTTTTCTCCTGCCTGTAACAAACATGACACCATGCATGTTTTGCTCATGTTGCGACATGAAGCGGGCGTTTCCTAACTGTGTGACTCATGTCACCGTGGTAACAGCAGGTTTAGCACATCGCTAACACATCTGAACACGTCTTTCAGCTGAAGTTTATCACTTCGCCGTGTTGGGTGTGATCTGCATGTAGAGGAGTCTGACGCTCGTTTGAGTCACAAACTAAACTTTGAGTCTTGAGACGTTGGGCTTCACTTGGAGTCGTGATCTGGGACTTGAGTCCCATAAATATCTATATAAGCCAAAATCAAATGTTCTCCAGTGAAGGGCTGAGTGTGATTTATTGTGTAAAGCATGCTGCTAACCTCGTAGCTACTCATGCTAACTGCAGCTCCATAATATAAAACACATTAAAATCTGTCAAACTCTGTTTTAAGTTGCCTCAGACCAAACAACCGTCTTCCTACATGATGCTACCAAAAAGAAACTTCTGACCCTTCAAAGTAAAAGCCCTTCCGTATGAGTTTGTTTTTAATAAAAACATATGAAAAAACATGTTTAAACGTGACTACAAAGGTTTATAATTAAAACTCACTGCATAATAATTTAGAAAATTTTCCTCATAAAATAATAGAGCACCAATGTAAACAAATAGTTTAGGTGTGAAGATGAAATTACTACAAACACAGTTTGTCAAAAATAATAAATAATTTCCTGTTTGTTCTTTAACTTGGTGTTTAGTTCTCATTGTTACTACGTCTAAAAACACACAGAAAAACTAAACCCTTCAGTTTACAGACTGAAATAACTGTAGTTTGTAAAGTTTTCTATATTCTTCTGGTCTTTCAGTCCAGTCCGGTCTGGTCCGCCTCCGTCTTTTCCTGCTTCAGCAGTAAATCTACGTCCACAGGTAAAGTATAATCAGAATATTATCACAACATCATCTGCATAACGATTGAGAATAAACTCAGTTTTCCTTAAATAGAAACAACAGATTATCTCTGGAGACATTTAACAAAACATGATTTGGTACAAAAGCTAATAAATGTCTTTTAGCGACGTTACAGAAACAACCTGGTTGGTTGTCGCCTCAGTGACGGACTGTGTTTCCTCACCGTGATATTTTTATTTTTAGGCCTCCTGAACTCTGAGTGACTCCTTATCCTGTTGAACAATCAGAGAAATATAATAAAAACTTCATAAAATGAATGTTTTCTGTTATAGTTTGCCAGGTTTTCAGGTAGATTTGGTCTTGCATTGAAATAAAGTGACCTGAAGTTACATTAAGCATTCATGTTAGCATGTTAGCATTGCTTATTATCTGTACTTTATAGGTTTTAATTATGCAGATGATTAAAAATGTAGAAACATCAGAATTAATGAAGTCAGTCAAACATTTTATCTGCAGGTGAATTTTATTTAAAAATGGTGCTAAACCGTCTTTTCTCTACGATACGCCTGAAATATCAAGACGGCAAAAATAATAATTATTAGAGTTAATTCTGATTGGAGATGCTAAATAGCAGAAAAACTCACTAAAACACCTGAAAATGTTTTAATTTTCCTCTGAAACACTAAAAATGATTCAGTTTTAATGATTTTCCTCTGGTAGCCAATAAACACGACTGTTTTCTTAACAGAGAAGCTTCTTGTTATCTGAACCATGAGTCTTGTGCCTTATTGAGCTCTTCGTGCTGCAGATGTGTCTGTGCGCTACAGCTTCGGGCGGCCGGTTCTGTCTCTGCGGCTGCCGACGGGCCGGGCCTGCCGCTTCACGCTGACGCCGATGCTGACCACCGTGGGCGACCTGCTGGGCGACCTGAAGGCCAAAGACGGGTCTGTGGGGAACGCCGCGCTCTTCAACAGCGGTAGGAAACGCTCCCGAACTCAAACTGTTTGCTGTCTGCGCTTCCAGAGAGCTTAATATTCAAATCTGAAGAGTTTGGTCATTTGGAAATTATCCTCGTGACTCTGAATGTGGATCGCAGAAACGACGATCTGATGCTAACAGCTTCCAGGCAGCAGAGACAGTACTCCACATGTCCTACATCAGGGTGTCCAAAGTGTGGCTCGGGGGCCTTGTGGGGCCCTTGGAGTGATTCTATGGGGCCCTTGGCACCAAGTCAGACGTAGCTCATCTTTTATCACCAGTCTGTTGATGGCGACACGATTAGCACAAAATAAATGGATATTAGGCAAATTAGAATAGATTTAAACTAAAAAAGAACAAGAACATTTTTTATTTCATTTTAATTTAATAGCATCAAAAACATTGAGTAACTCTTATTTTAAAGTATTTAACCCAGGCTAATTAGGAAGATTTTAAACTTGTATCATATTCTTGTTGCCTAAAATAAATGAAATTATTTATGGATCCTTTCCGATTAGAAATGAAGCTGTAATGTTTAATCAGAATAATGTGTTTTAGTTTGTTTTGTATTTTTCATAAACAGACGGCTACACTGAACTTCACGGCTCCATCAGTTGTTAGCTAGCGCTGCTAATCCACCTCCTTTGCTTTTGCCGCTCCTCTTCATTTCTCTGTGTTGGAGTAGGGGATGCCATCGTTGCTCAGAGTTGGTTTGAGCAACCTCTGCCTCCAGTTATCCTCCTCTTCAGCTCTCTGAGATTTGGGGTCAAAGTTCAGGTTTTATCCGAGATGCTAATCGGCTCCTGGTTGTAAAAACAACACCATGTTGCCACGGTTACGCATGCTAACATCTGTCTAAATGTAAGGAAGTCCTTGCAGCTGCACCTCACCCAGAAACTGTTCCCTCATGTTCATCGGTCTGACCTGTAGGGGGCGCCACAGCGCCTGATGTTATTCAGACTAAATGTTTGTTTTGTTCCTCAGACGGACAGAGGATCTCCTGCTGCACTTTGATGGAAACGGTTCTGAACAACGACTTCCAGATCCAGATCGATGACGTCATCTACAACGTTCGCTCGCTGGGACAAGGTAGCGCCTGTTCCTGTCTGCAGGGGGCGCTGGCGGCACCGGGCTAATGTTTTCTGCTCTGTTTTTCCGTGAGGCTCGTCCAACGAACACATGTTGGGTCTGGACGACAAGAAGCACACGGTGCAGCTCCTTCACTCCGCCCTGAGTCTTCCTCAGCAGCTGCACCTGCAGCATGCGGCGCTGCTGGCGAGGAAGGAGACGCTGGCTGAGCAGCTGCAGCCGCTGGAGAACGTACGAGTCTCATTCTGAGCTACTTACCTCACATAAAGACGGCGATGATGCTGGATTTAGCTAAAGAGGCTAATTTAATCTGTAATCCTCTAGGAGGTCGATGGAAGAGTTTAAAAAGTGCATAACAACGTACCTGAGCTGTGATTTACAACAGATTTCAAAGTGTAGCTAGAAGCAGCGTAACTTACAGTAAACATTACTAATAAAAATAAAAACAAGTAAAAACTGTAGGAAAAAATACAACGTAAAAACTGTTCATTTAAAAATGATTCAAAACATGAGTGATTTATGGTTGGAAAGCTGCTGGAGGAGGGGATATGCTTCAGTGATTTCCTGAAATAACATGTCATAGTTTTTACTTCTAATGTATTCCAAGAATTTGAAGCCCAAACAGGAAATAACAACTGATTGAAAAACTTTTACTAAATTGTGTTTTACAGCCTCCTCTACTAGCTGCTCTGGTAGTTAAGTTTCATTTTAAATTAATTGGAAAAAGTTTTTTAGCGTGAAGGACTTTACATAGATCTGTTGCTTGTTATTGTTTACATGGGAAAGTTTTTGCAGGCGCACAACGCTGCAGGGTGAAAATACGATTCTGTTACAGTTCTACGTGCTGCCGCCGTAGAACCGTTAACTAGATGAAACTAAACTAAACTGGTGATCTGTGAGAGCTGGTGTTTAGGCCACATTTCTATAAAACTTTAACTGAACCAAAACACAAAAAGTTCCACAGCACATCTAAATGTTACGGTTGTCAAAGTCAAGTTAGCATAGCTGAACTACTTCCTTCTTCTTTGCTTTTTTTCTTAAAAGTTTTTGCTGAACTTGTTGCCTCGTCGTCGTCGTGTTGACAGAGCGAAGCCCTGCGTCCCTTTTTGTTTTGTTTTATATATCAGATGTACATTTAAGATTCAGCGTTTTATGTTGATAACTATGCTAGTCATCGTTAGCGAGCAGCTTTCTAACCTCCAGCAGGGATCTGAATAAATGATCATTTCTCCCAACTCAAAAAATGAAACCTGTCATATTTTACAGCAAATCTGTTTGCTTATGGATTCTGTTGGTTGTGACATGAGAGCAACTCATCCTGCTGTAGTTTATATGAGAAACACATTTAAATATAATGTTGAATTCCTGATACGTTTAGAAATACAAACATTTTATTTTACTTCTCCTGCTGCTTCCTGTTGATGATGTCGTTGGTTTCAGGTCAGAGTTCAGCTGGCGAAGAAAGCAGAGAGCCGAGCGATGCTGCTGGGGTGGGCGGGGCTCGCCTACCTGTCGCTGCAGGGGGGATTCCTGGGATACCTCACCTGGTGAGCCGCCTCACCTGCCTCACGCATTAAACCAATTAATCACACGATCAAATGAGATCAGTCCATTTACAGGATTTATCGTTTTCTCTCTTTTTCTACTAAAATCTGGATGACAAAAGTCTTCAGCTTTGGTTTAAATTTTAATTTATTTAGTAAGGATATTAATTAACATTTATGTATTATTTATGCATTATTATTCCTTTATTACCATTATGTTAGTTGAAAATGGTCTCAAAACAACAACATTGCAGTTTATTGTGTTTTATTTTGGATATTGAAACTAAAGTTCATTGATATTTGACAGGGTTAACTTACATTATTATTGAGGTATTGGCTGAAAATGGTCTCAAAGCAACATTATCATTTATTGGGGTAAAGTTTGTGCTGCAGCAGCATCAGTCCTTGTGGCCGGCAGCCTCCCTCAGTGTGGCTCTGTTTCAGGTACGTGTTCGCCTGGGACGTCATGGAGCCCGTCACCTTCTTCATCTCCTGCGCCACCAGCATGCTCTTCTTCGGCTACTACCTCCTCACCAGGCAGGTCGGTCCGCTGCTTCCTGCCTCGTCACGTCGCAGCAAGAAAATCATGTAGAGCAAACTCAGTGCGCTAACGTCTCAATGCTAGCTAAGGCAGTAAACTTTAAGCTACATGAAAGTTTAGCACTACCCGTCGCATGTCAGGATATTTAATTTTATTAGATTTATTTTTGTTTCCTGGGAGTTGGATGGTTTGGGTCATTTGTTGTTTTGAGCTTCAGAGTAAATTTGTCTGCAGGATTTCGTCACGACCGACGTTTTGGATCGTCAGTTCCTGCTCCACTTCCACAAGAGGGCGCTGGGGAAGAGGTTCGACGTCGACAGATACAACGAGCTGAAGGACGAGCTAGCTAAGGTTACTGTTTAAAATCTGATTGGTCCATCCTTTTCCTCTGTTGCCATGGTGACGGTAATCTGACCCAGTGCGGCTGTCGGGCGGGTTTCCAGGTGGAGAACGACCTGCGGAGGCTGAGGAGCTCCATCCAGCTGCAGCTGCCGGTCGATCACATCCAGCCTCAGAGAAGCTCCTGATGATCCCAGAGCAGCACTTTCTACGTTTCTCTTTCAATAAAAGATGTTTAGTTTTGCTCTTGTTTGGTAAATAAAGTAAAACACTGGGAAAGCAGCTTCTCTCTGTTGATGCCTTCATGTTGTGGCAGGGGAAGGTTTCTGATTTAAAGAGAAACTGAAGAAATTCTGAATGTTTATGTTGAACAGAAAATATTTAATTAAAATCCAGTAAATAAAGGAACATGCTAGTGATGGGATTTTAGATAACATTAGCATTCTAGCTAAATGTAGCTGTTTGCATAGGAGATGTTAGTCAACATATAGCCTTAATGCTAACATTAGCATTTTAGGTAATGAGAATAGATTAAATTTAATCAAATTAATGAAGTAGATCTAATGGTGAACCTGCTAGTGATAGCTGATATGTTAAATAACCTTTAGCTGTTAAATGAAGTAGGTCAGTCGTAGTAAACATGTTTGACAGGATTTTAGGATTTCTAAATGGCTCATTTTCCAGACACCATAAAACATGAACTTAGCCAGAAAACGGCTGTTTCTCTGTTTTTATGATCAGCAGAGACTCGAATGGAAGAACAAGAACATGAAATGTTTTGACTCTCCAAACATTAAGATAAGGTTTAACTTGCCAGTAAAAATCCTCCTTTTTGTCTCAGGACCTTTTTATTTACTTTATTGAACAGCAAAGCAGAACAATGTTTTCTGTTTTTATTACCAGGTGAAGGTTGAGATCACAGGAAGGTGAGAAAAGGTGAAGAGTTAAAACTAGCCGCTTTCTTTAGGAGTTAAATTTGGTGACTGCAGGCCAGCCGGTGTGAAGCCGGATCCACTCAAAGTAATGAGCAACCTGCCGAGAAGAGAAACCAGTTAACTGGGTCTTTAAAGCTTGAACTGGGAGTAGAACCGGTTGTACCTGTGTGTAAACCCCTGGGAAGCCCTGATGGCCACACCGCTCCCCCCAGCTGACGATGCCCCACAGGTAGGAAACCCCCAGTTCATCCTGGCAGACCAGCGGGCCGCCGCTGTCGCCCTGACACGAGTCCACGTGTCCATCCAGGTCTCCTGCACACAGATGGACCGGGTTCAGGCCGGCGACCCGACGGATCGGCTCGGGCGCCGCGGACGCACTCACCTGCGCACATCATCCCCGGTTTGAAGCGATCCTTGTAGGAGGATTCGCAGCCGGAGATCAGCGACACGTTGGCCCAGAGCAGAACCTGAGCCGACCGGCCGTCTGCGCAGAAACATCAGCTTAACGGGAAACAAAGGACTGGGCGGCTCAGGGACCCGACAACAGCCCGGATTACAGGATTAATTCACTGCACCCAACAGCCAAAAGAGTATTTACTGGTAGAAAACAACCAGCTGAGGTCTGAACGAACTAAAACTGTACATTTAGTCCAACAGTTCACTAAACATCTAAAGACCAGATTATGTCTGAGATTATCTTGGATTAAAAAGTCATTTCAGTCAAACACTTCCAACATAAAACTTAATGCTGCACCTAAATAATCTCCAGTTATTTTTAAAGATATCTTTGATTCACATAACTGTCAGTGAAAAGATTGATTTTTTAAAAATGAAATTTAAAACAAAAACTTATTTCTATCTGTTTAATTTTCCCACTTTTCTCTCTTTTCAGATCCCATCTGATAAAAAATAACTTATAGACAAAAAATTTCTGAAAAAATATCCTCAGACATTCAAACAACTATTTTTGTCCCTGGAAGTTCAGCATCATTTTATTATAATAATTTGCATAAACCCACATTCAGGCCCAATAAGGTCAGGAAACATTTAAATGATAATATCTATTGATTGGATCCTCTTCATCTTCTACTTCTGTTTAATGTTGGTAAACAACTTAATGGGGCAATGCTGCCACCAACTGGTAGAAAGTGAGAACCAATCAATCCCCTAAAAACATTTAATATTTAATCCTCCAAATGTCCTGGTAGTTCTGCCTTCCTGAGTGTTTCTGAGACGAACCGACAGGTTTAGTTTTGGGTGTGGTTATTGTTTCAGGTGTTTGCAGCGCCGTACCTGCGGTCCGCCCCCACCCGGAGATGCTACAGGTGTGGTTGGGCGGGAACAGCTGGGTGGTCCAGGGGACGCAGACGGCCCGGACGGCCGGGTTGTCCTCCAGGCATTTATCCGAGAACGGGAGCTTCTCCAGCTGCACCAGCGCGATGTCGTTCTCATATGTCGACGCCACGTAGCTGCAGGAAGACTGGGAGTCTTAGCTTCCTGTGTGACTGATTTAAAATCAATAATCAGCGATCAGGCGGGTTCGTACTTTGGGTGGATGCGGATGTCCGTCACAGGAACAATGTCTGTCGTTCCCTGAGCCCGAAATTTCTTCCAGAGAGAAAATTTAACTTTGAACGCAGAAGGATTCGGCCTGTTGGAGGAATGTGGGGAAGGAACTAGTTACCTTTACTCAGTTACCTTTACTCAGTTACCTTTACTTAGTTACTTTTACTCAGCTACTTTTACTCAGTTACTTTTACTCAGTTACCTTTACTCAGTTACTTTTACTTAGTTACATTTACTCAGTTACTTTTACTTAGTTACCTTTACATAATTACTTTTACTTGGTTATCTTTACTCATAGATAACTAGGTAAAAGTTAGTTTTCTAACTTTTACAAAAAATAAAACAAGCGAGGCATTAAGAAGCGGTGAGGAGCTGCTGAGTTACTAAGTAAAAGTAGTTACCTTTACTCAGTTACCTTTACTCAGTTACCTTTACTTAGTTACCTTTACTCAGTTATCTTTACTCAGCTACAGTTACTTCATAAACCTTTTTGAAAAAAATATACTTTTAAGAGTATTTTTACTATGATGTACTTCTTACCTTTATAATTTTATTATGACATATTCAAACTTTTGTAGCTATTTTAACTTTTTGTAACTAGTTTTTCTTATATGAATTACTGTCATTTTGGTTCTTAAAATACCTAAATTTCCACTTAACTTTATATTTTGGTGATGTAATTTTTAAATATTAAGTGATTGATAATTTGATCAGTTACTCAGGATTTGAATAGACCTTTTACCAAATACTTTTTTACTCTTACTTGAGTAAAGTTTCTGAGTTCTCTGCCTCCTCCACTGTTAGAAAACCAACTATAGAAAACAAACAGCTCCTGTTTGTGTCCCAACAGGAGCTGTTGAAGCTGTTGTTTGTGAGCATAAAGTTGATCAGGTGTTTTTTACTTTCACTGTGTCATTTTAAGAAAAAAACAACTGCAGTGAAATGAAAAGCTGTCCAAGCGATTCTCCAGCATGTTTAGCTACAATAATTACCCTCAACTGTTCAGTTTTTCCTCCGTGTCTGAGCCAAATGAATGAGCGTTTGCCTGCAGCTGGGTTACATTCGAATGCTGCTGTAATCTAACGACACGTTCTGGTGCTTCTGGGTCGTACCTGACGCAGTGAGCGGCGGTGAGGACCCAGCAGCCGCCGATGTAAGCTCCTCCACAGTCGATCCTGCGGTTCTCCTCTAGCGCCACCTGCCACTGGATCTGAGTCTGCAGCTCAGCAGGAAGAGGAATCACCAGGTTACCTTCAATCGTTACTGGGAAACTCTTCAGAGTAAAGACGGCCATGAATAACCTCTAAAAATCTCACTTCAGGTGACAGAAATACAGATTTTTAAAAATATTTTGATACCAACAATATTGAGTAATAATTAATTAATAAAGTATCAATATTGCTGCTCAATAACTGTTTACAGAAGGAAAATGTTTCCTCTGCAGCTAAAACAGACGAGGTTTTTAGACTCTAACTGTTCAAACCTGCAGTGATTAAAATTATTGAACAACTTTCATCATCACTGATCTCCTTTGACTAGTTGAATGAATGAATGAATATAAATACTGTATATTTGACTATTTAATTCCAGTTGTATCTTTTTATTCTGTATAAATTTATCCTGTTTACAAGCGTGTTGCCAGTTGTTTGGATCTGGCAACCCGGGCTGTGACTGACCGGATTCGCCGGGATTCCTCCCACCACCCTCTTCCTCCGGCTCTTTCTTCCTCGGTTGTCCGTCTCCGTGTCGTCCACCAAGTCCTTGTTGGGAATCCCACAGGACAGCTGGGCCTCCAGATGTTTCCTGTTGGCTCTGGTTTCTGGAAACAAACAAACAAACAAACAAACAAACAATATTTATCATGCCCTAAATTAATATTTATGGAATAATAACTTACTAGTTGGGTAAAGTTTGACATCTGTGTTTAAGTTTTGGTTGTTAGGAATTCTTTAAGTAATTAGATGTTTATATTCATGCTCTTATTTTGAAGTCTGTTTAGGTAGCATTTCCGTTTCCTTTCCTCAGATTTTGGCTCCTTTTACCCCAAAAACTTTATTTCAAACAAGAAACAAAAGAGGAACAAAATAAAACACAGACAGAACAAATATAAAGATAAATACTATGTAATGTTTCATATAACATGCAAATTAAGTCAGAATTAGTTTGGTAATTAAGAACCGTAGTGTTTAGAGGGCAGGTCTGAAGTTAGCGCTTTAGCAATAGCTCCTGCTAACTGTGATGTTCAGCTTTAGAGGGTGTACTTAATTCGTTCTTAGAGGGTGTACTTAATTTTCCATCAAGCTCACAGTGACATGAACTCTTTCTGCTTCAGGTAGAGGAACCGTTTCTATTTATAACTTCACAGAAACTCGTTTTTAAAATCCAAACTCGACTTTAAGGTCAGATAAAAACCTTAATTTTGTCGCAAAACAAATTTTCTTTTAGCCTTTTTAGGATTTAAAAAAATATTTTTATTAATTTTCAGAACATAGAAGACAGAACAGTGTGTAAAATAATATAAATAAGGCTAAAAACAGGTGAAGTGCCTGAAGGGAAGCTTAGAGAAATGATCTGCTGAGGTTCAGCTAAAGTCAGAATCAGCACCACGGACAGAGACTCAGTTCATTCAACTCACAATATCAAAGAGTTTTATTCATTTTTATTTTCCTCACACTTTCAATAAGTCTGTAAAATATTTTAGGATTATTTATGTTAATATTTGGTAAATATAAATTATAAATTTATGTTTCATTTCTTTATTTCATATTCCTGAGAAATGATTGATTTTCAATCTTTTTGACGGGTTAGGGTTAATATAAAGAATTAGTGTTTTAAATGTGTTTTTGACAGATTATAAAACTGATTTTTTACATTAATACTGTGTCTCAGCTGTAACACTGCGGCTCCGTCTGAACGCCGACTCCAGAAACTTAACGATTTCTTCTGATTCCTTCATGTTAAAACATTTAGTCTGCAAAAAACCAGCTGGATGAGAAGGAAAACACTGGAGATTCATCTATGATTTAACTTTTAAAGTAAACCTTTCGCTGGTTTTTTACTCAAACGAGGGATAAAGTTTCCCACCTGCAGTGGAAGAACCAGCTGAGGGTTACCTACCGTTTTTACGAGAGATGTACTCTGGAATACAAGCAGAAGACATGAATGTGATTTCTACCATTTAAAAAACATCCAGATTTACTGAAAACTGAATCTATGAACTCAGTTGTTACCTGAGGTGTTTGGTGCTGAGGTAACATTATCTGACGCTGCTGAAGCTGCAGGAAACAGAAACGTTTAGACATTCAGCTGCTGTCAGAGGCAAACCTGAACCGGACCAGGGTCTGAACCGGACCAGGGTCTGAACCGGACCAGGGTCTGAACCGGACCAGGGTCTGAACCGGACCAGGG